TGGGTGGAGGGGTGAGGGGAGGCTGGGAAGGGATGGGAAGGGGAAACAAAGGAGGAGGCTACAATGCTTGATAAGAAATGTACTCATTATTTTGCCCATGTAATTATAAACCCTCTGTACAGTATTTTCATAATAAAATATAAAAAAAATGAAAAAAAATACACAGGCTGTACCAAATTGACAAATTTGATTTACAACATCTTATAATAAATCAAGATAAACAATTCAAAAAGACAGAAAATTGGTACACTATCTTATAGAATAGGATAGGATAACAAAAATGAACAAAGAGGGGCTGGGAAGGTGGCTCAGTGGTGCAGCGCTTGCCTTGCATGCCTGAGGCCCTGGGTTCGATTCCTCAGCACCACATAAGCAAAAAGAAAAGAGCTGGAAGTGGTGCTGTGGCTCAAGTGGTAGAGCGCTAGCCTTGAGCCGAAGAGCTGAGGGACAGCGCCCAGGCCCAGAGTTCAGGCCCCACAACCTGACCCCCCCCCAAAAAATGAACAAAGATGATTTTGAAAGAAGAAACAGGTCTTAAATATGATGGGTTCAATCTTAGCTTCCAGATAGCTCGTTTCATCAATCAGATTGAAATGCTACAGTTAATAACATGATTGAGAAAAAAGTCATTCTTGTTGGCTAGTGGAGGTACGTGTTTTGAAAGGTAATTTGTCAACTGAAATAATGAGCGCACATATTCTGAGCAAGCAAAAATGTAAAATTCTGCAACAAGTTACATTAATAATTTCTTAATTTTGACCTATGAGCTTGTACTAAAATACTCAACAAAAAATGAAAGAAAAAAATCTAAGTATAAACATCTAATATTGTCTAGGGGAAGGAACACGAGATACAGATTCAATATTTCTATAAAAAATTATGTAAATACAAGTCAGGCTAGAGATGTAGCTCAAGTGGCAAAGCACCAGCCATGAATATGAAAGAGTAAACAGGGTGCCAGTGGCTCATGCCTGTAATCCTGGCTACTCAGGAGGCTGAGATCCAAGGACTGAGGTTCAAAGATAGTGCAGTAGCAAAGTCCATGAGACTCTTCAACTAACTACCAAAAAACTATAAAGAGAGCTTTGGCTCAATGGTATAGCACTAGCCTTGAGCAAAAGAAATTCAGGAACAGTGAGTGCCCAGGCCCCGAGTTCAAGCCATGGTAGAGAGAAGAACCATACAAAAAAGGCATACAAACCAAGTTAGGCAGATATTCCTTACATTGTTTAGTTCAAGTCCACCTATAAGGAGACTACATGAAGTTCAGAGGAAATGTAACCAATATATATGATTAAGATTTTATTTTTTATTTTTTGATGCTACTGGGACTTGAACTTAGCAAGCACTCACATTTGACAGGAAGGTGTTCTCTACCTCTAGTCCCTCTGAAAAAGTTCTAAACTAAAATGTGATTGAAAACAGGTTGGTTGTCTTGATGCAAGATGTGACTATCAATAAAAAACTCAGCAAGTGTTATGGGTAACAAAACAGTTCTGCATCCTAATTTTACTCATCGTTATGAATGTGTACAAACTTCAGGAAACTAGACCCTAAAAAACTAATTTTATCTTAGGGTAATAAAATATGTCTATGCCTGACAGTAAAAGAACTAAGTATACCTAAATATTCACAGGAAAATTTTCTTTGCTTATTCTCTAGCAGAGAAGCTGCAATACACTGATGTATACAAAATACAGATGCTGAAGCAGTACAGGATAATTTATAGCCCATACAACATATTTCTAAACAATGTGAACAAGTGAAGAATTACAAAAAAAAAGCAGAAAAAATTCTTACATATATATTTGTAAGAAAAAAATACTTTCCTTTTTCTTCTCTTTAGACATGAAGAAAACAGGCAGGTTTTGAAGTTGTAAACAAGCTTTAAGAAATTGTCATAGAGGACCACAGATGTTTGTAGTTCTGTATCAGTAGATAGCAGTTCAGGAAATCAGTGATCCATAGTAATTTTCAAACATATTTGGTCACTTATAATGTCACTACATCAGAAATGACAGTGATGTGGCTTCTGATCATGTGTATTTATTATATACTATCACTATTACTATTTCCTATCTTTCCTTTGCCTTCTGTAAGTAGGACATTAAAGAGATAAACCAAGAAAGTACCTGCATTGTGAGTCTTAAATATGGATTACCCTGAACATGAAGTTATAGAATCACTAAATCCTTAATTAGACATTCAAGGAGAGACACGTTCATTTATTTTTAATAAGGAAAGAGATAGTGGAACAATGACACATGGACTGGAGTAAAACTCTGAATTATTAAATATTGGAGTCAGGCCTTACCTGTTAATTCCTAATTTGATACTACCATCTATAAAATCCTGCATTAAAAGAAATACCTGTCTAAACCATGACAATTTAAAATAGTATAATGTTTTAGAGTACAGACAAGTGTTATATCTATTATCTCATTCATTACTTGAACTGTGGGAGAGGCAGGCAGACAACTGTAACTCTTCTTGTATGAAGCAATGTAAGCACCCAAATCATTATAGAGTGATTTTCCTAACAGAAAGAATATTTGACTGTAACAATAAATGTCAATAGCACATGTCCCTTTGACACAATTTGCACTCCTTACCTCTGCCTTTTGGAGTGATTTCAGCCACCAAGTCATCAACAGTAACGTGTTCTAGTCCTTTTTCTTTAATTACCTCTTATGCAAAAGCAAAAAACAAATCATATCATTTAAAATCATTATCTGTAAGAAAGATTTTCATAGAGGAAGGGTTAAAATCATGTTTTTTGAGTGTAAATTGGTCTTTAAAAAAAAAAGAGGACACTTCTTTTTTTAAAGAATTTTCTAGTTTAAAATGATAAGTTTATTCATCTTCTAGTGAAATAACCTGTAACTGCAACACTTCAAATAACTGTAACACTTCAAATAAATTTGAACGGTAACACTTAAATCTAACTTTTGCAGCAAGCTGGAAACTATTAACAACATTTTAAACATTATCTGTAAAGTTTCTTCTTAAATATATGTACTATACATATATATATATTTAAATTTATGTGTGGAGATTTTCAAACAAACAAACAAAAAACCCTATTATTTGACGTTAACTTCTGATCCCATAGCTTTAGGTTAAAATGTAGAACTACTTTTTGCTCCTTTTCCTTCTCGGACTAGGCCAAAACAAACGTAGGATAGAATTTAACTGATATTCAATAATCACAAAAAATCTAATAGAGTAGACATTTCTTCTACTTCAAGGGAGAGGCAATAAATTTTCAAATAGCTCATTTGAATATGAGTTAAAATCCAGTTATAATCTTTTTTTTTTTTTTGTCAGTCCTGGGGCTTGCACTCTGTCCCTGAGCTCCCTTTGCTCAAGGCTAGAACTCTACCACTTGAGCCACAATGCCCCTTCCGGCTTTGTCTGTGATTAATTGGCAGTAAGATTCTCCAGACTTTCTTGCCATGGCTGGCTTCCAACTGTGATTCTCAGATCACAGCCTCCTGAGTAGTTAGGATTACAGGCATAGAGGCATGAGCCACCAGCAAAAGGTTCAGTTCTCATCTTTACAATTAAAAGTCTGTAGGAGCTCAAAATCTGTGCTGCTTCCTAATATGCCAGTAGCCCTCTCACAGTTAGTGACAGTCAGTCTCTCTTTCGTGTGTGTGTGTGTGTGTGTGTGTGTGTGTGTGTGTCCTGAGGCTTGAACTCAGAGCCTGGGTGTTGTTCCTAAGCCACTTTGGGCTTTTTTGGTGTGTGTGTTCTTGAGCCACTTTGGGCTTGTGTGTGTGTGTGTGTGTCCTGAGGCTTGAACTCAGAGCCTGGGTGTTGTTCCTGAGCCACTTTGGGCTTGTGTGTGTGTGTGTGTGTGTGTGTGTGTATGTCCTGAGGCTTGAACTCAGAGAGCCACTTTGGGCTTGTGTGTGTGTGTGTGTCCTGAGGCTTGAACTCAGAGCCTGGGTGTTGTTCCTGAGCCACTTTGGGCTTTTGTGTGTGTGTGTGTGTCCTGAGACTTGAACTCAGAGCCTGGGTGTTGTTCCTGAGCCACTTTGGGCTTTTTTGGTAGACTCAAACTTTTCTGCCAGCATGGATTCAAACCTAGATCTCAGATCTCAACTTCCTGAACAGCTAGGATTGCAGGCATGAACCACAGGCACCCAGGCTAGTCTCTACTATTTATATTCATAGAAGCCATTGTAATAGGATACATGAAAATATACAGAATTTTTAGGTGGGTGTGGTATTTTATGCCTAAAATCTTAGCAGCTCAGGAAGAAACATGAACTGAGGCCAGCCTGAATAAAAATTCACAAGACTCCATCTCAACTAATAAATGGATGGTGGTATAAGCTTAACAATCCAGATATAAGGAAACATGAAACAGAAAGATCATGATCCAAGCTGGCTCTGGCATAAATCCAAGACATTATCCCATAAAATAAAGCAAAAAGGGCTCATGTACAGTGGCTTAAGCAGCACAGTCCCTCCCTAGGAAGCTCAAATCCTAGGGTTAACACTCCCAGTACCCCTAAAATATCAGAATTCCACTACTCCAAAAACCGATCCAGAAAGGAGGCTCATCTCAGTGATACGTGAATCTATCAAGTGGTACCATCATCAATATCCAGGAATTTAACAAGCAGTTTTTTAAATAAGCATTAATTCTCTAAAAGCTTTTGTACATGATTTTTTTCAAGGTAACAGAAACAGGAGAGACAAATTCCTCTTAGTCTGCCAAGCTCCAGCCATTAATTTTTTATTAAATGAAAACACATTAGGAATACTTGATACTGGAAAACACAGGATTCTACTTTTTTGATGCCAGAGAAATCTTAGTGGTCAGGCCTTACTTGTTTTAAGGGAAACAAAGATTTCTAAAAAACTTATTTTGTTTACATATATTACTGACAAAGAAATTATTGTAAGATTCTATTTCTTTACACTTATACTTGAGAAGTCATACCTTAAAATGCTCATTATACTTCTTTCTAGTTAACCCCCAACCTACCCAGTTCAAAGCAATGGAACTAGCTTATCTTCTAAGTAAAACTGATTACCTTTACAGTGTGCCTTCAACTGATCCTTCCAGCCACATTCAATTAATTTAGCTCTCAGCAACTCTTTGAGGCTGTTGAAAAAAATTTTTTTTTCAAATTAAATAACAATGTACAATATTATGGATAAGAATGTTTGAAGCAAAGATACAACTGTTCAATTAAAAACTTCCTGCCTTTCAATTTCAAGACTTTAACTGAAGCTTAATCTGGGTTCTATCAGTTCTTTGATCTTAAGCAAGTCACTTAAATCAGGGTTTTGAATTAAATTTGGGCCTAACATGAGGGACAAAATTAAATGGGGAGGCTACAATTCTCAAAAATCTTGTGGATTTTGTACAACTGCTAGAGCCTTATCTCTACCATTACAGACTGACTCCCCTTATTTTAATAACTCAGTTATTAGCATGCCTATAATTTTTATTAGCATTATTTTCTTTCTAGTGATAAAATATTGGTGTATAGTCCCAACTAATGGAATCAATAAAACATTTTGTTTTGTCATACCTACCCTTATAAATCCTCAAATTAATCATTTCTGAATTTAATGTATCAGATCCCAAACAGATTTTCTCTGCCTGCAAACTGTTTCTTTTGATATTTCTAGACATCTACAATGTGTCATTTTCATTACATCTTAGGTCTTTCAGTACCATTAGGGCTCATATCCAGCTTTCTATTTTCTTCCACTCCTCTTGCTTTTCTCAAAATGACCTTATTCCTTTGGTTCCTTGGGCTTGATCTTGGGCATTCTTCACTCCACTCTCCTTGTAATACCTAATCCATGAGTAAATACTACAGGTTTCAGATTTAAAATGTTAACTGCAATTTAAATGTTTCTCACCATCTCTGTTATTAATACTCTAGTTCACAGTAGAGTCCAGATTATTACCCAATCACTTGCTTCTTCCCTTGTGTACTTTATTCTTCACTTATTACACCAAATCCTCTAGTGCCTCCCCAATTTACTTAAAACAAAATGCCAGGTCTCTACTACAGCCTACGTAAACCTTGATGATCTGACTTCGCCCCAATTATGCTTTGTGATTTTTTTTTTTCTTGCCCATCTTGGGTTTAAGCACTTTCCCTGAGCTTTTTTGCTCACAGCTAGCACTCTACCTACTACTTGTGTCACAGCTCTACCTCCAACTTTTTTGGGGATTAACTGGAGATACAAGTTTCATGGAATTTCCTGCCCGGGCTAGCTTCTAACATCCATCCTCAGAGCTGAGCCACCTACGTAGCTCAGAATAAAGGCATAAGCCACCCACTAGCACCCAGCTATGTGCTTGTGATTTTATCTTCTTTCTCCCTCATACAACATATGCAGTTTCCTTAGTTTCCACATATAACTCAATAATGCTAGGCAAATTCAAAACCTGGGACTTTGTTGGCTTTTAACTGTATGAAGTATCAACTGTCCCACTTACATGCTTTTTTCCTTCTCTAGGACTTATCACTACCTGACATATTTATTATGATTTCCCATTAGAAGTTTACAATTCATGAAGGCTGGGGTATGGCTCAAAGAGTTGAGCACTTCCAAGTCCTAAGTTCAAACCTCAGTATGGAAAAAAAGATAAAAAGCAATTTCCTGAAAGCACAAATTCCATTTTGTTTACTACTCTATCTATAACACTAAACAAGGTATGGCCCATAACAGAAATTCAGTAACATCAGCTGTATAAATTAAAACCCAAAACAAACAAATAATGAGTATAATTCCCTATACTCATCATTAACAACACTGTCCTTCCAGTCAACCCATAGTTCTGCTCTAGATATATCCTTCCTAAAATCAGAGGATGTTTCTTCTTCTATTTTTTAAAATTAAGGTCTCCTTTCCATTCTTCTTCTTCCATTTTTACTCACCAAATAATTTTCTACTTCCTTTTTTTTTTTTTGCCATCTATCTTGACCTTTTCAAGTTTATCCCCAACAGTCGCAAATAAAATTCCTCAAGTATAAATGATGTAACTCCCAACATCTAAGAATAAAGTCAACAACAGATGTTTTTGCAAACCCTGGCAACTGTCTCACTGCCCTTTGACAGGAAACAAACAATCACAAAAACCCCCAAAACCTTTTGTGTATTGATCTGGGCAACTGTTCTAGTGACAGTAGTATGAGGAAGGTAAAGCTGGTCTTCTAACTCATTTATTACCTAAGTTTAACAGTAATCATGCAAGGCCCTTTGCAGAGGAAGATTCTCTGATCTGGTAAAATGTAAATTTTGAACTGCAATTCTCTGTCACTTGTGAGAAGGCTCTGTTTGAAAATAAAGTAAAAGGGAAAAACGGAGAAAAATATATTTTGACAACAATTTTTGAGTACTTATACTGGATGATAAAAGAAGCAATTGAAAACCTTATGTATTTAATACCATTGGTTAAGCTAATCTGAGTTGCTTCTTTTTTTTCCAAGCAAAAGAATGCTGACTTAAAATAGGAATACACATTCCTCTTGTCTGCTACATTTTTCATATTATCCTCATTTCCTCTTATTCTGTAGTCCCACTCATTATCGCTCAGTGTATATAATCTGTCCCATCTACCTAGAACATTTTCTCCTTTATTGATTTAGAGAACTCCTTTCTATACCAGTATCTCTTTTATTACTGAAATCTTACACAATTAACTTGACCCACAAGTAAAAATGGAAAGATTTTTTAAACTTTGTTACTTTGTGTTTTTTGGTTCTCCAATCACTTCTTTGTACTTTTAAATTTATTCTGCAAATATTAACTTGGCCAGTTAGATGCCAGGCATAGCATTAGATGCTCTGCTGCCTTGCAACTTAGTATTATAAAATGGAGGGAAAAAACTAATAGTAAGCTAAAATGTAATATGGTTAAATGCTACAATAGAATGTTTTAATAGACTCTCTGAAAAGGAAATTCTTAAAATCTTTAAATTCTTCAATCTTGTATCATTTAAAATTCTTACAAATGAAGAAAAAATTGCTCAAAATAAAGGAAATAAAAGTATTTTGGAATAAGAATGGCACGTGATGATCAAGGTTAAGAGAGCCTGATGCTGGGCATAGTGGCACATGCCTGTAATCACAGATACCGGAGAGGAGAAAGTAGAAGGATTTAAAGATTATGGACATCATGGACAAAACGTAGGAAACTATCTGAAAAGCAGAAAGTTTGAAGTGGCTCATGCCTGTAACCTTGGTAGAAAAGTCAGTGAGAGTCTCCTATTAACCAGCAAAAAGCTAGATGTGAAAGTGTGGCTCAAGTGGTAGAGCACCAACTTTGGGCAATTAAGCCAAGGAAGAACACAGGCCAAGAGTTCAAGTCCCACTATCAACACACACCCAGCCCCTCCACCCCCAAAAGAATTTGGTAACTGAAACTGGGTCTATCATGTTTCCTTCCTGTTAAACCTGGGGAACATATCTTCAATTGTAGCTCATTGGCATTTTTTTCTTTATTATACATGTTTTGAGTATAGTCATTTCCTGCTTATCTTTCTAAATCATCCTTTTAAGTTTTGCAATGTTGAACAGATCTAAACTATTTTCATATAAAAGTCAGGAATAGAAACTATTAATGATCTCAATTTTTGTAATTCCACTAACATGTTTTGTTTCTTGACATTTAGATTTTTATAATTATTAAAAACTATAAAACGTAATTTATTAACACAATTTTAGTTACTTACCGCTCTCTTTCTCCAGTTTCTATTAACTTTTGGTTAATCGCTGCTCTCATCTGTGCATCTTTGTTCATCTTGCTAACCTAGACATCAATAAGTGTTTTCAGATACAGAAATTTACAAATCACTTTTTTCTAAATCTCCCAGGCAAGCACCCTAACACTTTAGTATTCTACTAACTGCAAGAGTGATAAATTTTAAGTGTTAACAATGTCATTACTCTTAATATGATTTGCTGCATTCTAAGATAACATATCAACACTCAATATACTATTTCTTTCCCCTATGTGCTCTTTATTAATGAGTCTTTAGATAATATTAAGTATCACTTTAACACTTAGTAAACATTTAAGTGCCTGTACTGGGCTGAAAATTTATTTTTGAAATTACATTTAATCCCCAAACTCACTGTTACATATTAACATAACTTATATTTTAAAGATGAGAAAACTGAGGCACAGAGATACAAAATGGTGAAAGCAGAATTTGAACTCTGGGTTCTCTGACCCTTGAAGCCCCATTTTATTGAACTGCATCAGAACTGACTGCTGATCCATTTCTGCACCTTAGGTACATTCAAAATTCAGGGAAGCCATATAATATAAATATCAACGAAAGATGAGACGGTATTAGTAAAGGAAACAAAAAACAAAAAAAAAGACAAAAAACAGGGAAATGGCTAAGAATGAGTACCTTACTCTTCATTAGGGTGTACCCTGCATTAAGTGGCTACACCAGCTATGTTATCAAAAACATTTATTGTGGGTGGGGATAAGAGGAAACAACTCTCAAACGAATTCTTGTGTTTTAAGGACATTCAAGTTACTTAAAAGTGTAAATAAAACTTGGAATAAGCTAAAGTTCTCCCCATCTAATCTGTCACTAACTCGACACTACTCCTTATCTCCTATCTCCCGTCCCAAGTCAAACTGACAAAGACTTTTTAGAGTTGTGTGTGCGTGTGTGTGTGACTTTTTAGAGTTGTGTGTGTGCGTGTGTGCGCGCGTGTTTGGGGGGGGCGGGCTGGGGTTGGATAGGGAATCGGGAAGGGAGGTTGAAAAAGAAGTAGGAAATGTTCTGCCTTTGCAAACTGGAAGCTAACATTTTTCAAAGTAACTACAAAAAGCTCGTCAGTTCCACGGCAAGAATATTGAACTTGATTTCGCCTCAAGCCCCCCAGATCCAGATCGTGACCTTGGACAAGTCACTTAATACTTTCAAGGCCTCAGTTTTGTCACTGGTTAAAAAAAAACAAAAACAAACAAACAAACAAAAAAACACCCGGGCGCTAGGGGTTCCCTCCCCGCTCAGACGTTCTCGGGAAAATGCACCCAGGCGGGGACAGCTGGAGAGGCGGGAGGAGGAGCCAGAAAACAAAGCGAGGACTGGCTCCAGGCCAACTCCAGCAGCACGCCCAGTCGGAGAGCCCTACAGGCCCGCGAGCGAGCGCGGGTCGGGGAAGCGAACCAAAGACAGTACAGCGAAAAGGAGCCTGGGCCGGGCCCGGGTCCCGGCCCTGAGGACCACGGGCATAGCTCACCACCATCACCGCGGGCGAGGGCCGTCCCTTCCCAGCGACGAAATGACCCTTGCGCTGACGACCGTTACCTACCACACTCTTCGACTGCCCGGGACTTAGACCCTCAGTAGCTCGGGCACCTAAGCACACAGAAACCTAGAACACGCATTTCCGGGGCGGGGTCTGGCCACTCTGCCTATAATGTGAGAATTTAACTAGCGCGGGCCGCCTCCCGGTCGCTCAGTCTTCTGGGTAAGTGAGTCCAGATCCGGCCCTCATGCCGGGGCGACAAGCCCTTAGAAAACTACATAGCCCCGAATGCATCAGCGTCCGCTCCCCCTCCCTCACACGAACACTACACTTCCCGGTATGCACTTTGCGCCGCAGTGTGTGCTGGGATGGGAACCACGCCGGCTCCCCAGCCTCAGTTCCCGGAGCCGGCGCGGACCTTTCAACCAGAGCTCTGTTAGTTCTCTGGCCGAGACTCTAGCCAGCGATGGAGGTGGCGGCTAATTGTTCCCTACAGGTGAAGAGGCCTCTGCTGGATCCCCGCTTCGAGGGTTACAAGCTGTCTCTCGAGCCGCTACCGTGTTATCAGCTGGAGCTTGACGCAGGTGGGAAGTGGCGGCTCCCCCAGGCCCTGGGTGCCCCCCCCCTTTCCGCTGCACCCCCTGACCTTTCCCGCGTTTTCTCTCTGAGTAGGGCAAGCAGGGTCACCGTGGCCGCCCTTACGGCCTGCCCCGCCGGGGTGCACCCAGGGTGGCCGTCCCTGCAGAATGGTGTCCATCCCAGGACCCTCGCGAGCCCCCCCTTTGCGTCCTCCCGCTCCTCTTGGCCCGTCGGGTTCAGAGGTCTGGCACGCGGCTGTGCTGCCTGAGCCCCGGCTGTCAGTCTGCGCATCCCTGGCCTGGCCCTGCTGGGGAGAAAGTGCTGGACCTTGTTCCAACTCCGAGCACCTCGTTTATAAACGTGTTCCCTGAAAAGCCACGCCTCCTTGGTCAGTCCCCAGTTGTTTCCTCTGACGCAGAGCCATTTCTTGTGAGATAAATTCTCCTACATTCCAGTTCTGTCATTTTCAAGTGTCCAGGTCCCGCGACCCTCAGGACGGGTGCCCTCGCGGCCATCGCTGCGAAGTTTGTGAGGGGGCGTGATTTAGTCACAACACTTCTGCTTGTTTTGTTTGTGTGGGGTTGGCTGGAATGTTCCCATCCTGTTTTCACTACGTGCAGCTTTATTTTCATGACTGGCCAGAGATACGAACTTTTTAGTGCAGGCCCCAGCTGATTCTGATGCCTGTCGGTAGATCACACTTGGAGAAATACTGGTCAGGGTCAGTACGTGTTACTGTATCAAACAAGTGTTTATTAATTTGTTGATTAACTTCAGAAATATCGCAGGCCAGTGTCGAGATACATTTTGAGGATATCAAGGTGAGTATTACATAACAGGAAGAAAAGTTTAAATAATTATAATGTGAGAAGGCAGTGGTAGGAATGTGAAAGGCTTCCCCACGAAAATGACTCAAACACTTGGTCAAATACAAAGAAAGAGAAGTAGCAGGTAGGCAGAGAGTAGCAGCTGGGAGGGGCAACAGCACATTTTTATAAGGCTGTGTTCATGTGGGACACTGTTGTGGAAAGGGTTAACATTTACAGTTGTAGCTGAACAAACAAAGGAGAGGAAAACTTCATGCCATTTGAAGTTGGCAACTACCTGCATCGCCCGTTTTTAGGTATAAGTCTGTGTCACCTGATTTCTGGGGAAGGCAGCTTTTGCTTTTTTGCTGAAGATGTAAGGTGGGCAGACTGGGTAAGAACATGGAGAAGGAAAGGCTAACAGTATGTGTACGGCATGCAGTGGTAAAACTTGAGCGTCTTTCCTAAAGCAGCCTGTAGAAATCCGAGAAAGATTCCTGAAAGAGTGGATACTCTCATTGAACTTGCAAGGATAGGCAAACTGGAGTTGACTCATGAGAGAAGATGAACTTTCTTTAGATGCCTTTCATTTCCTTTCTTTCTTTTTCCTCTTCCAAATGATTTTTGTTTTGTTTTCGTCTCCAAATCAAATAACAATACTACCATGTTTAGTTATTAATGCATTCAAACCCAAACCCAGAATTTAGTTGTTCAATATGAAAGGATTATTGTTGCTTACCAATCTACAGGTCAGCTTGGTGGTTGTTCTAGTTCTGGCAAAGCTCGTTCTTGCATCTTGGTTCATTTATGGGTGTGCTAGGCAGTTCTCTTTTTGACTAGACTTTGTCCTATGTTGGGGTTCTGCCTGTTTAAGATGATTTCAGATGATCTCCACTTGACTCATCCAGTAGCAGGCTAGTGCAGGCTTGTTGCCCTAGCACATAACAGCACGTAAGTGCTGTTTACTTCAAATTTGTTACTGTGCCATTCCCCAAAACAAGTCAAATATCAAACCTAGATTCAGTGTGGGATGATTGTACTAAAGGATACTCCAGAAGGTATAAAAATTGGGACTGCTAGTGCAGATCTGTATAATTGTTCCTGTTGGAGTTATTTTCAGTGCATTTGTTTAGATCTCATCCAATTTATCCATAAATGCCCCGAGTTCCAAATTAGGGTACCTACATTCTCATCCAAATCATAGTTTTTGCATTCCTAAAATATAGTAGGTTCCTTAACAGCTTTCCTGATTTCACTTTAGAACCTCTTCCCTCTTATCACAAGACTGTAAGTGTAGCTTTTAATTTTATGTTTATTTGATGGGTATTATACTGGGACTTCGATGAAAACTCTATGGTGTTTCTCTTACTATGCTGTCCTTAGTTCTTGACACATACTAGTATTCAATAAGTTGAGTGAGTGGAGGATATTTTTGCATTCTTAAAATCTCCTGACCTCTTTGGGAAATATATTTCAATTGTTTGGAAACTAATTTCATTGAGTCTTGCTTTTATGTTTTGTTGGGCTGCTCTAGAATGGTGCTTAGACTGGGGATATTTGTAAATGCTGTCAAGGCAAGACTGACCTGTGTGCTATGCTCAGTATTCCATAAATTATGTGTTTTGTTTGTTTGTTTTTATTTTATCTGTTGGGCATAGTTCCTTCCTAACCTGTTGTGACCAGCACTGTACTATCTAATCCTTTGAAGTGTGTGTGTGTGTGTGTGTGTGTGTGTGTGTGTGTGTGTGTGTTTGTCGGTCTTGGGGCTTGAACTCTGGGCCTGGGCGCTGTCCCTGAGCTTTTCATCCAAGGTTAGTGCTCTTACCACTTGAGCCACAATGTCACTTCTGGTTTTTTGGTGATTAATTGGAGATGAGTCTCATAGATGTTCCTGCCTATGCTGGCTTTGAACCTGGATCCTCAGATCTCAGTCTCTTAAGTAGTTAGGATTACTGGCATGAACCACCAGTGCCAGCTTCAAATTTTTTTTTTTTTTTTAATCTCAGATGGTTTCCACAAACACATGACCTTGGTACTGGTTAAGTCCTTGAGAGGAATCCTCTTCATATCTCCAAGGTTCTTTCTGGGCAGCTTTCTCTTCTGCTACAGATTTTAAAATCAGTATCTTCAACTTAAAGATTTTGCTAAATTTGACCTCAGTTTCTTCTCTTTGTGTTGTGTCCTGGAAATTTTTCAAGGCAATATCCTGGGACACAGTATGGTTCACATTATTTATGGTCTCTTTAAGGATCACTAGTCTTCACTGCCTGATAGCTAGTTCTTGGAGGCTATTGTTTAATGTAATTTTGTCTCATTTATTTTACTTATTAGTTGTTTCTAATGTGTTTCTTTGTGTTTTATGTACATATTTGCAAGTGTGTGTGTGTGTGTGTGTAAGAGAGACAGACACACACACATACACACATACACATACACACAGAGACAGAGACAAAGAAACATTTCACCATAGTTAAATGAAGGAAAAGGGGAGCCAGGAGAAAGGATATTACCTCTGATAAGAGGTAGAATTGCAAACATATATGGGAGAATTAACCTTGGAAAAGAGAAGAGGAGGGCTGGGAAGGTGGCTCAGTGGTGGAACGCTTGCCTTGCATGCCTGAGGCCCTGGGTTTGATTCCTCAGCACCACATAAGCAAAAAGAAAAAAAAAAGCTGGAAGTGGTGCTGTGGCTCAAG